ATGTGTGTGATTTTTGTTTTTTCAAAACTGCTCAGTGGAAAATGTCATGATTCCATTTCTGACCTTAGGTCCCTGGTCGGAACACGGAAAGAAATGAGTACACACCAGAAATCAAAGGAAATAATAATAATAATAATAATAATAATAATAATAATAATAATCACGTCTTTTCTGATGAAATGTAATTACTCTTTTCTCAGTGCAAATAGCATCGTTCCCCAGGAGTAGAACGGATGTCAAAGTGTGTCATATCGTTGCAAAAATCAACTTTTGATCAATAAAATGATCCTGGAGAGTTGCAGGAGAATCTCTGAACTTTGATAGTCTGCCAACCTCTTGGATCCTTAATGTTTTGGAAATGCACAATGCCTCATCTATGATAGTAAATTTCCTTTGATATTTCATGAGACTGTGGAAGGACGCATTATATTTAAATCACGCCAAAGGCACTACCATTTCCATTTGCTTGCATATCCGATGAGGATTCATTTAGGAGACAACATGTCGTCCATTCTCTTCTGTCTGTTCTTAATCGCCTTTTCGCATGAATTGAACAGTAATAACTATGGGTACAAAGTTATAAAAAAAGAAAGTATTTATCAATTGTCTTACATGGATTTTGATCGAATATCAGAGAGTATTGGCAATATCATTCGATCGAATATCAGTGAGGACTGGCAATATCATTCGATCGAATATCAGAGAGGATTGGAAATATCTTTCGATCGAATATCAGAGAGGTTTAGCAATATCATTCGATCGAATATCAGTGAGGATTGACAATATCATTCGATCGAATATCAGTGAGGATTGGCAATATCATTCGATCGAATATCAGAGAGGTATAGCAATATCATACGATCGAATATCAGTGACGATTAGCAATATCATTCGATCGAATATCAGAGAGGAATGGCAATATCATACGATCGAATATCAGTGAGTATTGGCAATATCATTTGATCGAATATCAGAGAGGATTGGCTATATCTTCATCAAATATCACTCGGTGAACTATCTCATATGCGGTATATTCAATGTTGAACCCAAGGAATGGTTATTCAAAACCGATGAGGAAGGCAGATATTGCGATGAATACTCCATCGCATATGAACTAACCCAAATCATTGATAAACACAACTGAGTCCCGGATGCGACGGGACAGCGTGCGATCCTCTTCGAATTTTTTATAACTTCCTACCCTGGAAAATGCTCATCAAAATTATTAGCACCCACTGGCACGTCAGATCATTCCCTAGTTAATGTCCAAATTGACTCCAAACCGGTGACATCCCCTGGATTTTCAGTTAGCGGAAGTAGACTGGGACAGCTTCCGGTCGTATATGACGGAAGTCACTCTCCCAAACTTCTTAAAACACGTTTCTCCCAAAACTGCTGCTCAAAATTTGAATATATCCTTTCTGGAATAGTGTGTTAAATACTCATACAAAAATTTCAGCAAAAGCCAAACAGTCAGCCGTGATTCACCCCAGAATGCGCTGCAGTCATAGCTCACGGGATTTCCAAATCGATCGCAAGGAACGATGTAGTCTGGTTTTCACATCTTCTATAAGCGCCCGCAATCGCACTAAGAGAGTCCTGTAAAACGCAAAGTACAGCTACGCGCGATCTATCCAGGCCAAGTTTGAAAAAAAAATAAACGGGAGGTCTGAAAATAAACAAACGATGTCTGAAAGGTCACTAAACAAACTATGACCGGAAGCAATGCGTCTGTTCCCACTAGTATAAGTGGCTCCGCGATCATATCATCCTCGACAGACCTCGTCTTGATATTTACCTGAAACTCAACCTTAGATGACAAGGACCATACCCTCCTTAGTTTCCCACGTCTTACTGAACACAACTTCTCCAAAAAAGCCACTAGCCCAGAAAAAGTTTCAGAGATCATGCTTAAGAGCATCAACCCCAAATTATCTCCGACTCTAGGAAAGTTATTTAAGCAACGCTTGAAGGGGAAATCATTTCCAAGCATGCGGAAGGTGGCAAACATATGCCGGGTCTTCAAGATCGCATGCAACCGATTCTCCCACTCCAAATATAGGCCAATTAGTTTTCTCAATAACATCAGTAAACTCTTTGAGCCCGTAATAAGAAGAAAGCCATCGATCACCTGGATGGGTACAAATTCTTGTGCGACGAGCAGTATCGGTTTCGATTAGCCAGATCCACTGCTGATGTCTTAACTACAATTACACACAATTATTGAGGCTTTTGACGACACACATACGACAATGAAAGGAGAATTAGATATTTAGATAGCCTTCGACAAGGTGTGGCACAAAGGTTTGCTACACAAGCTCTCCATCTATTGAATCTCTGGAAGGGATTTCTCTATTTTAAAGTATTCCCCACAAAAAGGTAGATCTCTGAAGATAGTTAATTAAAACAATAAATTCTTAGGAGGCTCTGGCTGTCAACGCTGGCGTCCCCCAACCTTAAATTAGATTTACATAAATAATATATCTAAAAATATACTGCGTCTATGGCGATGATAAGACGATATAAGGGCGCAGCTATAAAACTTTTGACGATCAGAAATTAGCTGCTTCTATACCGATCAAACACTAAGCTTCCACTGGGGAAAAACACTGGTTACATTAAATGCCTCTAAAGACAAACTATATACATTCCATCACCGCCGATCATTCACGATGAACAGTTGGCCTCTCGAGGAGGCCCCCTGTCTCAAGAGTATATTTGACCTCGAACTCGGACCCGACCTCAAGTCCTCAAAGATGCAAGTCAAATGATCGGCTCCCTGTACTGCTCCAGTAAGTACCTGACTCCTCATACCATACTCTAAAATTTAAGAGCCAGATCAGCCCGAAGTAGGAGTAGCTTTGCCATATTTGGGCTGGAGATACCAGACATCACTTTCCGGTCTTGATAGAGTTCAAAACCGTCTCTGAGCCCTTGGGGGAGAGGAAGTATTTTCCACCCTCCATTTGCTCTCTTTCACATGCGAGATATGGAGAATCTCTCACTGCTTTATCGATACTACCATGGAAAGTGCTCGGACGAATTGAATCTCCTGGATCCACCAGGTCAGATCTTCACGGCTAGAATCCGCCATGGCACTTATATAGTAGCAACCGCACCCACATTCCCTCCATATTCCACCGGTGAGATGTATGTTCCACCCAAACAGCTTCTTCCCGCAAACCACTACTCTGTAGAAGAGACTCTGAATAGAATATTTCCCCGATCATACAATGTTAACCTATTCATATCTAGACTCAACAGTTATCTTCCCCTCCTATCCATATAAACTAACCCTTATGGTAAATCTCTACTTGTACTATAAAAAAATGATCTTTTTGCCAAAGTCGACAATGAGTTGAAAGGTTTCATCAATACTGCAAAATATTTCAGTGATGACATCTTTATAGACTTAAAATATTAGTGATAACTTTAGTATGTACGGTTCATCGTCTGTAAGTGTCCAGATGCGAATTCAGTTAGAACTGTTGTACAAAACCACAACAGTTGGTCATCAAAGATACAAAGAAATTCATCAGAAAAATGGATGATGATCCCTGTCAAACAATAAGAAAGAAAAAAAAAACTTTATTCAGTAATAAAGAAAAGGGAACTAGTACAAATTCAAAAGGCAATTTCACGAGGATAAAGTAAGCACAAACCAACCATATTCCCGTGGCTAAGAACCTACAAATAAAATCATATGCCAACGTAATGTATCAAATGCAGACACGATGGCAATATAAGCCTCTTCATGATCAATACTAAACCGTTGCAAACAAGCTGATGTAGACAAAACACGTACCCATCAGTGAGTAAATAGTGCAGGGTTAAAAGCTGCAACCGACGGGTTTATTCTTGCTGTACAGGATCAATTCTTGATAATAAAAATTAACAAGCGCATATACTAAAAAATTGAGTTAATCCGAAATGCAGATTCTGTGATAAATATCCAATAACAGTTAACCATCTTGTATCAGGTTGCAGTTTTAGCACCAACTGAATATAAAATTCGGCATGTTAGAATGGGTAAATATCTGCAGTTGAAAATATGCAACTTCTACGGGAAGGAAACTGCAAGAAACTGGTATGAACATCATCCAGAACCGGCTACAAAGATAGGACCTGTAAGAATTGCTAAGACTTTATAGTACTCACAGACAGAACAATCAAATCTAATCACCCGGACATCGTGATCAAAAACTACAAGAACAGAATATGCTTTCTTATTTACATCGCAGTCCCTGCAGATTGTAATGTATATTTAAAGATCTTCACAAAATATCCAAATACAAGTATGTTTTAATGGAAATCTAAAAAAAAAAAACTATGGCACATGATGACATCAATAATCCCAGTTGTAGTTGGAGCCCTCGATAGATTCATTGATGGAATGCTTCTTAGCTCAAACCTTAAGAGGACAATAACTTGAACAATGTAAATAAGGTAAATAGTTACAAAACATCACCTCGGAAATATAGACAGATCCTGAGGGAGCGAGTAGCATACAATGGCCGACACGTGGAGAATATGTCAATAAACACGAGGAAAACAATCTGGACAATGTAAATAGTTTAAATAGTTGCAGTACCTCAACTCGGAAATATAGACAGATCTTGACGAAGGCAGTTGTGTACAAGGGCCGAAACGTCCTGAATATGGCAGTAAATGTGCGAAAACCTCTGTCCGTACAATGCAAATTTTGTAAATAGTTGCAATACCTCATCTCAGAAATATAGACATATTCCTGAAGAAGGCTGTCGGCTACACGGGCGGAAACGTCGTGAATATGAAAGTAAACGTGAGGACAACAGTCCGTACAATGTAAATCATAGTTGCAATACTTCATCTCAGAAATATAGACATATTCCTGAAGAAGGCTGTCGTGTACACGGGCGGAAACGTCGTGAATAATCAAAGTAAACGTGAGGACAACAGTCCGTACAATATAAATCATAGTTGCAATACCTCATCTCAGAAATATAGACAGATGTTAAAACGAAAATAAATAAGAAGAAAAGTTTATGAATCAATAGAAAAAGAAAAAAAGAAAGTGATGAGGAAAACGTAACGAAGAAATCGAATGTTGAAAATGAAAAAAAAATGAAAGAAAATGGAGAAGAAAATGAAAGAAAATTAAGAAATAAGAAGCAAATAACAAACAACATATGAAGATAAATAAAACGATGGTAGAAAAAAACAATGGAAAGACATGTAGAAAAATCTAAAACTATAGTAAAATATAAAAATATAAATGATAAAAAAATAACAGAAACAAAAGATAAAAATAAAGAAAAAGCAAAATATATGATAGAACAAAAGAAATATATTTAGAAGGGAAAAACACAGAAAATAAGTTAATGATGAAATTTCTCAAAGAACTTTAGACCAATCAAAAACAAGAAACACAAAACAATGGGAAGATAAGACAATTCATTTCGATATAATTACTTTTGATTGATGCATTAATAGTTGTATTATATATCGTTATTTATTTTGACAAATTGTGTTTCGATAACATTGACAACGTTTCGCCCAATTTAAGACGTATGTGCTGGTCTTGACATAAAAACTCTATTAACATTATTAACATTCAGGCTATTCGGTGTTCAGATGAAGTATTTGGCGCTTCTTTCTTTTTATGTGCCGTATCCTTTCAAGACGTTGGTGATCATGGCTCTCCACCTCCTTCTATCCCTTGCAGCTGTCAACAAGTTCCTTCCCTCTGCTTCCTCCTCCAAACCACGTTCTGTCATCCACTTGCTTTAGTCTACCAGGTATGTCACGCGTTGTTTTCCCTCTATTCGACCCGTGAGTATCAGATTCTCCAGGCCCCTCGCTTCCTTATTATGTACCCAAGAACCTTAAGCTGCTTCTTCCTGATGTAAAGCATACGCCTCCTCCTTGATTGCATGCTCTCTAAGACCTCATCTTTGCTCATACTCTCGGTCCATGATATCCTTCTGTAGAACCACAACTCTCTCGCCTCGAGTCTCTTCTTAATCTTTGAGGAAATCGCCCAACATTCGCTGCCGTAAAGAAGAAACATATGTCACGTAACAGTTCAGTATTCTTTTCCTTGTTACCTAAGTACTCTGGCCAGATTTTGGAATGCGTCATTGGCCATCCCAATACGCCTACGGACCTCACTTACCGTTTATACCTCTGGCACTTACTGTTTTTAATTAAATGACAGATCAACTCCTCGACACTGTATTAGATTTCTCTCTATTAACGGTGGCTTATCTGGAGAGTTTCGGCCAGCTAGTCTCGCCCTTATTTGTACCGACCCCAGTTGTCATTTTTTTAAAAATTTCTATTCACATCGACGATCAGAAATACATATGTTTCTTCTTATGTGCAATGTCCGTCCAGAATGTTGGCGATTCAGGCTTTCCATACTTCTCTGTCCTTTGTAGTTCTTAATAAATTTTGCTGTTTCGTTATCTCTACTAATCTCTGTCTTGTTAACCATTTCGACAGTCGCTTTTTTTAATACTTCTACCTGCTGTGTCCCTTCAGGACGTAGATGATCATGGCTCTCCATATTTTCCTGTCTTTTGTAACTCTTAGTAATTTTTAACTTTTTACTATCTCTCCTAATTCATTTTCTATCAAACATTTACATAAGCTAGTTCTTCTTCTTGTTCTTCTTCTTCTTCTTCTTCTTCTTCTCCTCCTCCTCTTCCTTCTTCTTCTTCTCCCTCTTCTTCTTCTTCTTCTTCTTCTTTTTCTCCTCCTCCTCCTCCTTCTTCTTCTTCTTCTCCCTCTTCTTCTTCTTGTACCGTGTCCCTTGGGGAAGTTAGCCATCCAGGCTTTCCACAATTCCCTGTCCTTTGTAGATCTTAATAAATTTTGATTTCACGCTATCTCTCCTAATTCCTGTCCTGTCACCCTTTTACACAAGCCCGTTTTTAATACTACTAAATATCGTGTCCGTTAATGAACATGGCTCTCCAGATTTTCTTGTTATTCGTAGCTCTTTCGTCTTCTGGCTATATCTCCTAATTCTTGTTCTACCAAACTGTTTTCTTCTTCTTCTTCTTCTTCTTCTTCTTCTTCTTCTTCTTCTTCTTCTTCTGTGCTGTGTCCTTCCAGAACATTGGCGGTCATGACTCTCTAGAATTTACTCTGTTTTGAAATTCATAATTTTATTTGACATTTTTGTTAAACATTGATCTGCCATCCATTTACTCAAGCTCGCTAGATAGGTGAAGTATTGCTTACCTATGTCCGTTTTAGCTTCAATCTGACCGTATTTGTTGAATAATATCCGCTGAGAAGACGCATCCTTGTCTTACACCCATTTCTATTTTTGTATATATACTGAATTAATTTCCTATCCGTATGCTGGCGGTTTTCCACGAGTATAGGCTCTGGATTATTCTAAAATCCTTGCCAAATATATCGATGATTTTACTTAACATTTATTTCGGTGTGTGGATTATGTTTAACTGATATAACTTGTCCGTAGGCCTAGAGAAGGACCTCCAATCTGTGGTTTACTGGGAAAGAAAATGACATGTAGACCTTAATGACTCTAAAACGAAACTGCTCAAAGTTACCCAACAAAGCGAGTCCTCCTGCCTTCCATCAGGATGGCTGATGCCCAAATCAACGGGAGTGCCTCTGTGCCTGCTGAGCTGAAGTGAACAGTTACATTGAATCCATAGCTTCATCTACCGCAAAGAATATTAATTATCTGTGTAGCGCCAGAACATACTTCTCGTCGGAGGTCATCCTTCAAATCTATAAATCAACCATTCGTCTTTGCATGGAATACTGCTGCCATATAAGGTATGGTGTTCCCGCTGTTCATCTAGTGGTCCTAAACAAAAACAAGAGAGTGATATGCATCATGGTTGGTCCTGATCTGATAAGTCTCCAGTCCTTATCTCAAAGACGTGCTGTGGATTCCCTCTGTCTTTTCTACAAGTACTTACAACTGCTCCGACATGCTACTTTCACTGGTTCACAAATTGCATGAATTGAAGCGTGCTACTAGGTTGGCAGCTCCGTCACACCCTTGCACTGTCGAAACGACTAAATGTAGCTATCTCTTCTCCTCCAAAAGCTTCTTATCTCGCGCCAGTGGAACCCTCTTCCTATCACTTGCTTTTCGGATAGTATAATCTTCACATATTCAAATGTAATGTCAATCGACATCTTCTGATTCCTTGACCTTGATCCCTGTCCTTCTATTTAATTTTCTTTCACTCTCTGTAACCCCTTGCGTGGTAGTGGCTCTCTTAATTTGGTTATGGCTAATTGCTTAAAAAAGTGAATCTTTATTAAAACTGGCTGTAATACTGCGGAGGCATATGCTCTCACATCATCGGTCAAAAAAGCATGGCCTACTTCTATTTTTGCCGCTGCTGGATTAAAGAAAAAAGGAAAATAAGCTTGGCCATTCTCCGTGTGCAGAGTTGTCCACGAAAATCAAATTCACGCCAGTCATACTCTCTTCGATTCACAACCATCTCCGCCGCCACCACCAGGGGAGATAAAGAGAATAGAGAGGAAGAGGATGGCGATCCCGATGATCGGTTCCGATCGGCTGCCGATAACAACAATGGCCAAGCTTAGTTTTATGGCTAGGATTAGCAGTGCTCGTATTTAAAAGGAATTAAACAATTTTTGGTAATAATTGGGAAATTAAAAATAATATTCCCTACAATCGGCTGTGTGAAAAATTATCCGCATCTTGTCTAAAGATATGTTATGGCGAACATACGACTTCCCCTCGTCGTCCCTTATCTGATTTTTATCCGAAATAATATAATTTCGTGTGAGGAACTATTTGAATGTTAATGGCCGTTCTCAAAACTAGAGAAAATAGCAAAATATTCCTTGTTTGCTGAGGTATTTATATCTAATCTAGGAATGTTCCCCAGTCATTCAAATTCAGCCTTCTTTTTTTCTGATTGTTCTTTGCAATCCTCATTTGAATATATAGGGTGTTTCATTAAGAGGGATTATATATAAGAGTGTATCATTATCAGCAATAAATAAATCAGTGTTATTGGTGAAAATGTATTTATTTCTCTATTGGATCATGTTATTTAAGTCCTGGCAATTATGCGTGAAAAATAAGATCTCCCAAATATCCGCCGAAAATTTAAAAAAAAAAAATCATTAGATGCTTAAACTTAATTCGCATTAAAATCGGTCCAAGTTATTGAAACACCCTTTATTTTCGGATAGCGTATGTTGAAATACCTTTTTAACACATAACACTATATTTCCTACCAAAATTTTCAATCTGCAACCATTTTTGGTCAGTTGCTCATCGCCTACTCAACAGAGGAAAGCGCCCACCGGTGGGCGATATCACCCAGGTTGGCAAATCCTGAGATAAACGAATAAACTAAATAGATGATAGTCATAAAAAGTGAAATTAAATATGTGAGTTCTTCAATCAAGAAGTGTGGGGAAAGAAACTGTTGGCATAGAATTTACGCTCATATCTAGCCAGGTCAACTGTAAATTGGGGAGAACTCGTCTCCAGTCTAGTAAGGCGCTTACATTCGAAGAGTCTATACAGTATAGCGAAGACCTCATATACGGAAATTTTTATCTAATAATTTCAATGTCAAGCAATCTAATAAAGCCTCTAAGATATAAGGGGCTACTAAGTGTGAATGAATATTCCCCTCAAACTGTTATCCTCATTTGGGGGGGATAAATATGTTTGTTAGATCCAGTAACTAGACCCAAAAATTTGTGATTCAATACCAAGACACAGCAGTGGTGAACCAAAAGTTCATGAGCTTAGTTAAAGGGAAACAACTGAGACATCCGGAAGAGGCATGATATGTAGAACTAGAGCAATCTACCCCGGTGGACGAAATAAACAGTTCGTTTCGAAATTCGAATCACCTGAAGAAGGCCGGAGCGTACAAGGGCCGAAACGTTGTGAATTTGGCAATGAAGATGAGGATGTCAGCCCGAATATTGTAAATAATGCAATTAATCAGAATACCTCATTTCAGAGATATAGACAGATATTCCCCTCGAGTTAGGATTTTTTTTTCCATTTCTGCCCTATAATACAGAATGACATTAAATAATTTTATATCGATTATTTATAAACTAATTACACCGACTTTATGGTTACAATTCTCAGTGCGAAATTATTATTATTGATACAATCGTTATTTTAGAATAATTATTTTTTGTAATTTCTTTTTTTATTCGTATTATTATGACAGTCATAAATGCCATTCACATCGAAATTGTTTTTTAATCTGTCTGGCTATTTCATGTTGTCTTACGGCTCCTTGCGCCGGCTGTATAAATATTTAATTCATTGATCTACGCGAATTGTAACCGTTAAAAATACTCCGATTTCTTTTTTTTTTTTACATAATTTAACCCTACGTAAAGTAATAAAGCTACTAAGATACAAGGGGTTGCTGAGTTTGAAAGAAAACGAAAAAGAAAACGTTATAAAGTAACACGAACAGAAAAAATAATTAGGAATCAAGGAGACAGCAGATAAAGATTTACATTGCATTTATATGTAAAGATCAAAACTGACTGAAACGTAAGTACCCGGAAGAGAGTTCAACAACTGAACGATGCGAAGACAGGAATGCAAGGCAGGAAAACAACTAATAAAAACTGGCTTAATGAAAAAAAAAAAATATTAAGGGCGGGAACAATAAAAGAAGTGTAATCACGTAGACAGTAGATAACGATTGACATTGCATTCAATTTTTTTTTTTAATAAAGTTGGAAGGAAAGCATGGATCCGCAAGTAGAATCCGGGTGAGTAGCCCGACAGAAGAAAATGTTAGCATAGAACTTGCGGTTACATCTAACCAATTCATTTGCAAAACGATGAGACCCTGTTGCCAGTCATGTACTGTGCTTAAATTCACATAGTCTCGATACCATAGAGGAAGGCACACCAGAACAGTTATCATAAAAGTATTTATAGAAAAGGGAAACTACATTATGGCGTGGGAAAGAAACTGAGGCCGAGATGGCAGTTCTAGACAAATAACATCGAAGAGTCTTTTTTTTAGATTTTATCATGAATCTCTACATATATAGCAGGAGCGGCAGGCAATAGACGGCAGTAATATTCAAAGCGGGTCAATTGCTAGACATATAAATATGTAAGATTCTAGCAAGAAAAGATGTCTAGCACGAACAACTTTTCTAGCAGCAGTCCTAGCAATCCATATTCTGTAAATATATACCAGAAGGGCCAGATCTTATGTGGCAGCTATTTTCCAAACTAATCCAATGTTTTTAGCGTTTTAAACTTTACCACGGCTCGTTGTTTTAAAGTAAGGCTCACCCTGTACAAGGCCCGGGGTGGTGGGCACTCGAGGTAGAGGGTTACGTTAAGGGCTAGTTTATATGGATAGGAGGAGGAGAGAATGACGTTTGAGTCTAGACTTGAACATGTTAAGATTGTAGTGATCGGGGAAACATTCTCTAAGGATCCTTTTCCATAGGGCAGTGGTTCGCGGAAAGAAGCTGTTCGAGTGGAACTTTCTTCTCACCGATGGAGTACGGGACGAATGTGGGTGGTCTGCTACTAAGTAAGTGGCATGGTGGAACTGAGCCGTAAAGGTCAGACCTGGTGGGACCAGGAGATACAGTTCTTCAAAGAACTTTCCATACTGTTTCTTTTAACTACATAAAGACTTTTTTGCAGTAAGAAATCACCCCTTCTCAGAATTTTATATTAAATTTTAATTTTGTTCCCTATTATTTAAACTAGAATTTATTATGACAATGTGAAGTGAGGTGATTTTTAAAGCTCATTATTTTAAATTACAAACGTGATGAATATATTTCTTTAAAACTTCAACTGTTAAGTTGAAGAACATGAAGCAACTCAATTTGTTATTACTAAAATCCTAGCTTTACAATGAAAATACAAACGTGGAAACTTTTGTCTATATCTCTGAGATGAGGTATTATGATTGTTTACATTATTTACATTACTCGAACTCTTATCCTCGTCTTCATTGCCATATTCACAACATTTAGGCTCTTGTACGCTCTGGCGTTCTTTTACATTCAAACGAACCCTTTATTTTGTCCACAGAGGTAGATTGTTCTAGTTCCACCTGTCATGCCTCCTTCGGACATCTCAGTTATTTCCCTTTAACTCAATTGCCCAAGTATTTGTTCACGACTGCAGTAGCCAAGCACTGAACTTACAAGTCAATGAATTCAACCAACTGAATAAAAGCGTTAATTGGATCCAGGAACTTGACCCAAAGTGTTGTGCTTTACTTGTGTCGAGAGCATTGTAATCGTAGCTGTGTAAAATGCACAATCTATAATCACTCCTACGAATGATGTTCGATACGAAATGAAGACAAGAGTTCATCAATATGCAATATATCAACATTATTGTAAATTACATCAGTTGATCAGAAAACTTATCATAACGTGTACTGTTCTTAGTCTACATAAGAAGCCGGCTTACTGAATGCAATGATGATAAAGTAATGATATCTTCTTTTTTTTAAATACGTATTTCCTGTTTAAAATATTACGGCATACATGTTATATTAGATTAATTATTAGATTGGTGCAAAAGTAATGTCGTTTTCTCACATATGATACACTTATATATGATTTCTGAATTAATTCATTGATATATGTAGCCATGTTATATATCATTTTGAAGCGCGTTTTTCGCTCTATCGAATCGTGTTATTAGTTACCGTTGTCAATCTCTTCATTCATTTTTTTTTTTGCAGGCTTTTCGACAGCATGGACAAAATTCAAATCCGCACGATTTTCGTGTTCCAGTTCAAACTAGCTCGAAACCTGCCGAGACACCTCGTGATATCAATGATGCGTTTGGCCCAGGAACCACTAACGAACGTGTGGCACAACGGTGGTTCAAGAAATTTCGCAATAGTGACGAGAGCCTCGAAGATGAAGACGGTCGCAGTTGATAACGAATATTTGAAAGCCTTAATTGAAGCCGATGCTCGCAAAACCACACGAGAAGTTGCTGTTGAACTTGAGGTCGACCACTCAACAATCGTTCGCCATTTAAAGCAAATAGGGAAGTCAAAAAAGTTGGATAAATGGGTGCCGCATGAATTGAACGATAATCAAAAAAATCGTCGTTTTGAGGTGTCTTCTACGCTCCTTCTGCGCAACAAAAACGACCCATTTCTCGAGCGGATTGTGATGTGTGATGAGAAGTGGATCTTCTACGACAACCGGCGACGTTCGGCACAGTGGTCGGATGCCGGAGAAGCTCCACAACACTTCCCGAAGCCGAAATTGCACCAAAAAAAGGTTATGGTGACTGATTGGTGGTCTTCGGCCGGTCTCATCCATCACAGCTTCTTGAATCCGGGCGAAACGATTACGGCGGGGAAGTACTGCTGACAAATTGACGAAATGCACCAGAAGTTCCAACGTATGTGCCCGAGATTGGTCAATATGAAGGGACCAATTCTCCTCCATGACAACACTCGCCCGCATGTTGCTCAACTGACCCTGCAGAAGCTGAACGAATTGGGCTCCGAGACTCTGCCTCATCCGCCATATTCACTGGACCTCTCGCCCACCGATTATCACTTTTTCAAGCATCTCGACAACTTCCTGCGCGAAAAATGCTTCAAAAGCCGAGATGATGCCGAATCGTCCTTCGATGACTTCATCGCTTCCAGAAATCCGGATTTCTATGCTAATGGGATAAATAAACTTGTTTCTCGTTGGCAAAAATGTGTCGATTCTAGTGGTTCTTATTTCGATTAATAAAGTTTATTATGAAAGGAATTATGATCTTTTGAAGTTGAACGTAAAAAAACGACATTATTTTTTGCACCAACCTTATATATCATGAATTTCATTATTTTTAAAACAAGCCATTCTGAGAAAATACATCTTCATATCAAACTTTTGAATCGTTAAAACTCTTACATGAATCTTACACATTCAGCTTTGAAAATATGAATATATATATTATATATACAATATAATATATTTATTTTATATGTTGTGGGCATCATTGGCCGGAACTTAAAACGTGCTTCACATCGTCTCCAGACCTCAACTCAACAGGTATCGAGTTGGATCTGGTCAAGATCCAAAATAAATAAAATTAAATAAAACCATGCTCACAGCACAATACTACTTACGACATGAAACACATCTGTTTATCTTCCATTCTACGTCATTAATGACAGGCGTTACGGTGAACAAAATGAGATAGATAGATAGATAGATAGATAGATAGATACAAACAGACAGAAAGACAGACAGACCGTGTGGACATAAGAATCAACACGGAATGAATATAGCAATAATTTTGCATATTAAAAACAAAATCTTCACATATGACTGATGCACGTTATCGTGGCACATGGCGGATGATCCTTCTTGGGTTTTGGAGTTATTCTGTTAAATTTTAAATATAACAACACTTTACACGTATCACTGGTGGTGGAGAAGAGGATCCATAACTTACCCGAGGGTATTAGCACGTAACGGAATAATGGAGCCGACTGGAATTTGAACTTAATCCGAGCCGCTATCCATTACTCCACAGCTAGCACAATACAAAGAGCGAAATTTCTCGAAATTGATTCATTATAACAGGAGGAGGCGGAGACGCGAAAGAAAAATCGCTACGAATCCCTACGATACGACTGCTTGGAAAACTGACGAATATGCCATGTGTTACTTATCGAGGTCGAGTGCATTGGATACCTGGGACGTTCTTTCCTTTTGAAGGTGGGCATCAATGGCCGGTGCCTGAAGCGTACTTCACATCGTCTCCAGATCCAAAACTCAACTGACATCGAGTTGGATCTGGTCAAGTTACAAAATAAATAAAGTTAAATAAAACCATGCTCGCAACACAATGCTACTTCCGACGCGAAACATATCTGTTTACATTTAATTCTACGCCATTAATAACGGTCTCTACGAGCGAGTTGTGTATTTTTATACAATCCTGAAAATTCCATTTGCTGTTGTAAAAAGAAAACGCAAAAGACTAACACGTATAGAAAAACAATAACCTGGTGGCACCAGGGGTGGCAGTACCGCCTTAGCCACTGAAACTGTGTTACCTCCCCTCGTTGGAACTAACGAGGGCAGCGTATCGAACGCACTTTCACATGTTTTATGTATAGTATTATACAGGATGCTGTAAAATAAGGCAATTTTCTATTCATTAACTCTTACTGGACAAAAATAAATTACTTACACTGGTCAACAAAAGAAAAAACAATTGAAATGGTGTCAAGACACCAAACATATTTCTTAGCTAATCTGAGGACGCTGAATCTGAAAATGTCCTTACGTTTTCTTCGTTACCTACCGTTTTTGCTACACAGATAATCATCTTTTTTTCATTTGTTTTCTGTATGTATGATAAAGACTAATGACAATATTTCTCAAAATAACATGCTAAAACCTCTCAATTCGTACTTAAACGTACTTTTATTGGTCTGCTTATTGAAAAATATTTTTTTTGCAATAACAGTCAGATCCTAAGTCCTTAAAAATAACACGATTTAATATACCAATACCAACAAGTTTTTTTCATCAATCATTTAATAAATTAACAACAGAAATAAAACCTTTGTGAACATAAGAACTATGGTAAAATTTTTCTCTTTCTGGATTGTCTGTTATGATCATTGTTATTTCATTTCTTTTTGATACTCCAGCACTACAATGTACAATGGAACAGGTGTATTCAATTAGGATGTCTTTAGATAGAGTTTCTATCCGACTGTGTATCAAAATGCTTTCAATATGCTTGGTTTCCTTTCGTAGTGAAGGAATAAAAATGATGGGATAAATTTAAGAACAGAAGGTTTTATTATTGTGATGTCACCTTTATTATCAGGTTTTGCTAAAGTGTATAACAGATAAAATTTAGCACTTAATTTAAATTTGCACGATAAAATGGAAAGATTCTATTTTAAATTATTTCACTCAAAAACACTTTTTCTCTCATAAAAATACCTGAAAATTGATGGCTTTCTACGACCTTCATTAACTAAATTTTGCAATCAGTCAATCGTAAATTGAGCTTTTTTTCAAAAAAAGGTCTAATTTCAGTGCAGCAAAAATGGTAGCTAACCATGAAAAATAAAGGTCATTTTCGAAATCAGCACCACCAAATTAGCTAAAAAAAAGGTTTTTTTACTTGGTACCAAAAATCGTGTTGACCAATGTTAGGGTAGTTTAAGTAATCAACGTGGTTTAACAACCTATTTAACATGATACGGTTTTGCGCAAAAAAGAGTGGTCACACGATAGACAGGCAACATTTTTAAGAAGTTAAAAATCATCCATTTTTACAGTAAAATGTCTAGATTTAGGAAACTATATAACATGTTCAAAATGCTTGCCATTCATGCTCAATACAACGTTAAACCCTATCAGCAACACTTCTACAAACTGTTTGACACATTTCAACCTTAATTTCAGGAAATGTGTCAGAAATTGCGTGTTTTAATCCAGAAATAGATTTTCCCTGGAACCTATAGACAAGTACATCCCACAACAAAAAAAAAAAATCTGCTGCAATTAGGTGTTGGGATCGCGATGGTCACTCAATTATTCGACGTGGTTCTATCCAACTTAGCGCGAAATTAAGATTTGTTTCGAACACGTAATGAAACATCGTGAGGGAACATTTTTTCATCCTGATTATTCACGTTCCCATCGGTGATAATGGAATGTAATAAATTTTAGATATGAAGAAATTTGATGATTCGGTCTAGTGAGGTATGGAGAGTCTTTCGAGACATCCTGCAATGGAAAAAAAATGACTATATTTACAGGGTAATTGTTCTGACTAACGTTCCTCTATGGTTCCTAGACTTTACGAAGTTATGCGCAGTACTAGATTGGCGGCGAGGTCTCATCATTTTACAGTTGAAATGACTAGATATAAACGTACGTTCTATGCTAATAGTTTCTTCTATTCCACTTTTGTTATAGTGGAACAAACCTTTTCTATAGTCAATAGACTCTCCCACCTATAAGTCGGAGTAGTAATAGTAACGAGGGGTCGCTGAGTGGTTCGGTCTGAGTTCAGTCTGAAGTCGGCTGACCGGTTGAACGCTCTGCCTTCGGGCGGGGAGGAGCCCGAACGAGGCTACGCCGAAGGGCGGAGTCTCTTTCGGGGAGGTAAACCGACCCTGGACCCGTTTATACGGGTTTTAAAAGGGTATATTTTTGGCCGAGCCCACGGGCTCGGAGATCCCAGGGGCTCGGAGATCCCACGTTAAACCGGCCTTGTGCCACATGATCCCCTCGTGGGGATGGGTGACTGAATATCGCTCAGTGAGTTGGTCAGTCAGAAGATGTCGGACGACTGTTAGTTGGATACTAAAGTATCAGCGACCACAACTAGATTACTCTGCGTTATACCTATTATATCAAGTTCCTAACGTTTTGTACGTCGAACCTATTTTAGAACCGACTTAGTACAAATACAAGCCTCCACTGTGAAATCACCCCACAACAACTTTTCGCTTATTTCGGCTTCTTCATTTCCAGTCAAATTTAATCTTCAAAAATTCATATTCGATTCCAATTGTTACCTTCCGTGTCCTTGTTCAGTTATTGTTCTAATATTTTCATAGTTTTTTAGTCTCATATTCCCTTTACCGTGCATTGGGGGAACTGATTTAAAAAATGAACGCGTATGAACAGCAAAAGGAAAAAAACTCGTCAAGTTGTTACGAGGGCTCAAACCAAATCAATATATCGTAATGCATTAATTTTTTTACTATATATATTATGATTATTTCTCACCAAAATTTCTGGGATATATTATAAGGAAATTGCTTTGAAAAATGAAAATCTTTATCAATACAGATTCTGAGATTATAAGCAAATATCTTGTATGCCTGCCTAGCATCGGCTATGAGCCTAGCGTGTTGGATATCTGAGAGGAACGGGATATCGACAGGCCGAGAACATGTGCCGAACGAGAAAATGAAGTTTACATTCCGCACAAATTAACTTGGAAAAGGCTAAATCAAAAGCATCTGAGCCAACTACAGGTTAAATAACAAGATACACTGCGTTCAATATCGTTGCGTAGAAAACAGGCTAAGAAGAGCATGAAGCTGAATTCAAAGCTAAGTTTGAATGAGACGCAACTTCCGAAAACATTTGCGAAATTTACGCAAGTTTCCATCACGCTAATCAAATCACATGCGTTGTTAGCCTGGCGGCCATATGGTAAATCATATATATATATATATATATATATATATATATATATATATATATATATATGTGTGAGAGAGAGAGACAGAGAGAGACAGAGAGAGGGAGAGAGAGAATGAGCCACTCAACATTTCCGGAATATTTACACGCAAATATTTAATCAGATGTAAAAATTTACCTATTTAAATTTAAATTTTACAATTATCCATTTAGTATATATATATATATATATATATATATATATATATATATATATATATATATATATATATATATATTTTATCCAGAAATAAATATATCTAAACTCACTTAACTATATTTGATTAAGATCATATATATATATATATATATATATATATATACTATAAATATATATATATATATATATATATATATATATATATATATATATATATATATATATATATATATATATATATATATATATATATATATATATATAAACTTTATCAAGAGATTAATATATCTAGACTCACTTAACTATAACTGATTAAGGTCATATATACATATATATATATGTATATATTTATACACTATAAATATATATATTGTATGCGTATATATATATATATATATATATATATATATATAGAGAGAGAGAGAGAGATATGCGTATATATATATATATATATATATATGTATCAAGTATGTGGTGAAATTAAATTTATATTACATAAATCATTCATACAAAAAGTAGATTAGTAAAGTTAATGATATAAAATGGTGAAAACTCTTCGCAAACAAAATTCTAAAGACGCATTAACCTACGAATGATGAGTGTTATGTTGTTTTTAATATGTACTAGTTGTATAATATCATTTTTAATCTGTTCGTTCTTTCAACTGTACATACAGTCATCCTCAAGCATGGAAATTATTTCGTTTTTCGTAAATCCAGAAAGATTAAATGCGAATCAAAATATGTTTTTTTTTTAGAAATATGTTATTGTTAACGGATAAAACCGTTTGAACCGTGCAGTCGCAACGCTGAGGCAATTTTTTTTTGAAAATTTAAGAGAGTCCTTTTTTACTAATATTACTCACTCTCTTAAAT